TTTTTTTTTTTTTTAATCATTAATCCTAATAATGCATTGTATGTCTGTATTAGGTATCGAAAAGCAACACATTTAGACCCCAATTGCAAAATTTGCACATTTTGTAATCTGCAAGAACTGTTTAAAAATCTGTTTGATATAACACCTACAGCATATGTCCTAAAGTGTTCAAATTTACTGAAACAGAAATGTATTTTAAAAATGAATGAAATTATTTTAGCTGCAGTCTAGTGCTTCTTCCACATACAATTTTGCAAGCAATTTAGATATTTCTCCTCTGACCACACAACAAACAATCTGCTTTTTGAAATCATTTATTTATTATTGATTTCATACAGCGGACAAAGTAAGGTAGCTGCCTGTGTTGTGTTAGCAATAGCCTTTTACAATAAAACATAAACATAAATAACATCAATACATATAGCATAAGAATGTTCCACCTTGCTGTAGTGAAGCCTGATATTGATGAATCACGCACAGTGGCTTTGCTAACATCCTCAGCATGGCAAATCAGCTCATGGTTTTTGTTTTTCAAAGCATTTAGACTAACTCTTGCTTTTTATAGCAGGCAATAGATATTGGCAAACGCATTTAGTGGCACGGGGATTTATGGTATTTCTTTTTCTTTTTTGTTTTATGGCAACAATATTGCATATAACTGTGCTCTTTGACCCTGCAAAAAATGTTCTTAACTCAACATACATATACTTAAGAAGCAAAATGACATAAGTTATCAAGTCTTGTTTCAGAAAAATTTATCAAAATGAAGCAAGTTTATGCTTAAAACAAGAAAAAATATCTGTCAATGGGGTAAGAAAAATAAACTTGTTTTCCTTTGAATTACATTTATTTTTCTTATCCTTTCGGCAGATTTTTTTTTCTCAAATTAATCAGAAATTATTTTTTAGACAACAAGACTTAATATATTATGTTATTTTGCTTGTGTCTTGATTGAAGAAGGTTTAGATATTTGTACTGGAAAATAAGAAAATCATTAAAAGCAGTGTTAAAGTTGAAACATTTTTATATGTTGAAATACTTTCTCCTGTCCTGGTTTAACATTCATAGACAACTTTAGTAAGTTGATTTCCTCAAAAAGAGTGAACACTGTGGCTCTGTGGTGCTTATGAAATCCAGCACACAAGTTTGGGGCTAGACTATCTGACCAATCGAAGGCGGAAATGTTTAATGTTTAATGATGCTGACAGTGCAAATGTAGACAGTAAATAAGCAGTAAATGACATTGTAAACTCTGACTGGGCCACTGTGTGTTTACTGCATGTCTCTGTGAGGTAGCCTAATCATCAAAGCACTAAACAATCATCAAAATTAACAAGCCAGCATGCTAATCTGTAATATAGCTAACACAAATCAGCAAGGAAGATTACGTGGAAAAGCACTTTGAACTGCTACAAATGTTCAAAGCTGATGTACAGTAGCTGTATGGAACTAGAGAATTTCTGTGTATTTGTGTGTCTGTCTGAACATCTCTTGCTGTCTCTGTGTGGAGGTAATGACTTTCCCAGTCGTCTTCTCCTTATGTTTAAGGGGCTTTAATGGCCTTCTCCCCTGAAACAGAAGGAGAAGAGGAGCCGAGTTAACACCTCCACCTACAAATAAGCAGTGAGAGAATTGCAGTGCCTCTGATATATTCAAATATATAATCTTGGGTGACAAAACACTTTGTCCTACAAAACTGTCTGCATTCATTATATTTATGCGTGTGAAGACGTGCTAAAAAAAAAAAAACGTACCGTTTTGAACGACATCACAGCTGTCCTGCAAATAAACACAGAGGAAATAGGTAAATGGAAGTCTAGCAGTGAAGTCTTTCTTTCTTTTTACATACATTACATTACTTTAAAGGGGACAGTGTGCTTACAGCTTACCTCTTTTGGTTTCAGTACTGGTTGTGGTATGATGCGTCCGAACCCCTGTACAATCCAGCCAACCACACTTGAAAATAAATGAAATATAGTGCATGTTATTAGACTTAATTATATGTAAAAACATTTTACATTTATCCAAACAATAAAATGTTTCAAATATGTTATGTACACAAAACACCAAAACAAAAAAACACAAGAAAACAAAACACAAAACAAAAACAAACAAAATGAAACAAAACAACATAAAAACCAAAAAATGAAATGAAATGAAAAACAAACAAAAAAATGAACACAACACACACACACAAACCTTCCTGATACATAAAGCCTGATCAAAAATGCCTTTTAGGCTATCATAGTGTACCTGATCAGGTCAATACAGTCATTCTTAAACAGTACTTATAATATTCCAATAATATAGTACATTATATATCATACAGTTTGTGTGGGTATTATTGACCATACCGTATTTTTTTTTCTGTTGTGATGCTTAAAGTAATAATTAACAAATACCCTAGGACAGGGTTTGCCAAACTGAGGTTCATGAGTTAATTAAAGATCAAAAATCTATTAAATTATAAAAATGTAAAATTAAAATAAATAAATAATTTTGAAAAGAAAAACAAACAAAAAAATAAACACACCACACACACACACACACACACACACACACACACACACACAAAACAAAACAAACAAAAATGAAAGCAAAAACCAAACAAAACACCCAAAGCTAAAAACACAAAAAAACCACAAAAACAATACAAAAACAAAACAAACAACAATGAAAACAAAAACAAACATGAAAACACAAAGCAAATAAACAAAACAAAACAAATAGAAAACATTTAAAACAAGCCAAAACAAACACAAAAAAATGACAAAAAATAAAAATAACCCCCCCCCCCCCAAAAACAAACAAACAAACAAAACAAAAAAACACACGAGGCAAAAACAAAAACAAACGCAAAACTAAAACCAAAAACAATACAACTGCAGAACAAAAACTAAACACACAAAACCCAAAACAAACAAAAAACAAAACAAAAATGAAAATGAAAACACAAAACAAACAAAAATAAATAAACACACACAAAATAAAACAAACAAAAACAGAAAAAGCAAAACAAACAAAATGAAACAAACAGAAAACAAAAGCTCAGAACAAAACAACAAAGCACAAAAAAACAAACAAAAACGGAAAAAAACTCCACACAAAATAAAACAAAACCCAAAACAAAAGCTCAAATCTAAACAAACACCAAAAAAACAACAACAACAATGAACAATACAAATGCAAATCAAATCAAAACACACAAAACACAAAACACAAAAAGAAACAAACAAATAAACAAACTAAACAAATTAAACAATGTATATTTAACCAAGGTGTCAAAGTTTGGTTGGTTAACATTATACAGACATCATAAGGGAAGCAGATAAACACTTACTTTGTGCCTTTGGAATCCTCAGCTACTTTAGGCTGCTCAGGAGCTGCAGGTGCAGATGAAGGTGCAGGTGGAGGTGCTGGCGCAGGTGCAGGTGCAGGCGGTGGTGGAGGTGCAGGAGCAGGTGTTGGTGCAGGTGCAGGTGCTAAATAGAAAAAAAAAGTCACATGCAGACCACTCTATCGCCAAGGAAGCCCAAACGTGCATTCTTGATTTTTTAAAAATGTTACCTGGCTCTTGTTTGCAGGGAGTCACAGGAGCAGAAGCAGCCTTCTGGGCGGGTGCCTCTGTAGCAGCGGGAGGATGAAGATGGACAGGAGAATGTGGAACTACCTTCTCAAAACCATGCTTAATCCATTCTATTACTCTGAAAGAGAAAGATAGATTAAAAGAGTTCAACCAGAATGAGCGGTCAGATTAGCTTCTGACAGCTGATTAACATATACCTGGGAGAGAAGGGCACATTAGCAGTGTCTGGGTCCTCATCAGACACAACCTCCACCACAGGAATATGAGGCAGTGGCTCAGCATCTGGTGAGAGTGAGAATCCTGTCACATGTGTTGTGTCCTCTCTCATCAACTCTTTGCAATGCAAATTCTTTAAGCCAAAGTTGATACTGTTCTATATGTCTATCAAGAGGCTGGACTCACCACGAACGGCTTTGACCTCTTGCACCTGTAAAGAGACGAGAAACACAAAGAACTCTTACTGTACGTAGCCCTGATTTAATATTGGTGTGAAAATTAAAGGGCCAGGTGCTCTTGATTGGCTTGCATTTCAGTTTTTATCTGTCTATATTATTTCAAGTGTCATTCATTTATAAAAATGCTTGCGAGAAGGTTTTTAAGTATATATCGGTGTTTCTTCAACCTCAGGCACATTTGGCTTTGTAAACTTACAAACTGTAGAAAATAAATATTGGGTAGGATTAGGGATGTAGAATATGGTCATGCAGAATATGTGCTTTATAAGTACTAATAAACAGCCAATATGTTAATAATAGGCATGCTAATAAGCAACTAGTTAATAGTGAGAATTGGTCCCTATACTAAAGTGTTACATTTATTTATTTTATCTCACATATTTATATTTAACACATCATGTGTCTATTTTATCTTACAATGGTTAGACATAATTTGTGTAAAATTTGTAACCAGTATTATTGAAAATTTTTCACACACTAAGTATTGAAATAGTTATGATTATTTCACTCATTATTTCACATGGTTTTTAATTTTATGTTATTTATTAATAACATATTTTAAAATTCAAAGTCGGGCTGTGATAAGTAAAACAAAATATACATGAAAAGCATTTGAAAAAAATAGCACGACAGCAATAAATAAATAAATAAATAAAGTTTTATGTGATCTTCACTGAACAAAGCGTTAGTTTTGATAAAGGTTAAGGTTGAAGAAACACCACATTTGTAAGCAAGCATGCCCGTTTTAAGCTGCTAGCCATGCAAGCATCTGATGTTTTTGATGCAGCAGGGTTTTACCATAGTTATAGCAGGACGGTTATAGAATATAGCAGGAAACTTTAAAATATCTGAAAGGCAATGAAGCTCAAATTATGACTATTTCTTGATAAGAGGGATTCGTTTTGAAGACTCAACCTATTACTGCCCAAAACAGTCCTGAAAATCTCAGTCCTGCAGCAATCAGCTTGTGTTTACAAACCGTAATCTGTTGTAATACTATATACTGTGATGATAACATAGATGTAAGGAATGAAGCAGAAATAATTCATTTTCAGCATTTTGGACTAGTTGGTATAAATGGTTCTTGCTTACATGTATTCAAATCGGCTGATTACTGTGAGCAGACAGAAACGCAGGCGAGGATCAAAGGAAGATAGTTGGTGCCCTAGCAGCTCTCATTTTGACGGGACCCACTCTTGTGGTGGAGTTTGTAGACCAAATAACTGGAATGAATATCTCTGTATATCACCTCATACTTAAAGGGGACATATGATTGTGCAGTCTTAATGTGAACAGTACGTAGACATCTTCCAATATTGAGAATAAAAATTCACAGACCATTTAATATAACTGAAAAAATGGATCATTTAGATGAACCACTGTTAACATTGGACCACCCAGATTTAAATATCAGCACATATTCAGCAACTTGTCCTGCCCTAATGATGTGCTGATGAAAAGTGTAGAATATGGCCCCTTTAAAGTTAACTTGTGGGACAGAGGAGGGAACAGCGAGCTTGATTCTGACATACTGTAGCTTGCTCCAAAAACACTGTACTTACTGGAGGATCCACTTTAACCACTGGAACTGCAAGCTGAATGGAAATGCAATGAAACTCTCACAGAAGCTCACAGAAAACCTAAAGACACTTTTGAGACTGGTGTCTGTGGCCCTGAAGTGCTCCATTAACTCTAAAATCTCTAACTCAAAAAATTAACTCCATTAACATTAACATTAAAATGTAATCTAAAGTAAGTATATAAATAAATAAACTAATAAATAAAATATTTAAAAAATCTTCGTAGAGTCATTGTTCCTAAATTTTAATCTAATAACAAAATCTTTTTTTTGTTTTTTTGTTAATAACAATACATTTTTTGGTAAAGGTAAATCTTGTTTTTATAATAATTCACATTTTAAAATAACAAAACAAACAAACAAAACAAAACAAAAAAAATATATATATATTCAAATGCTTAGTAGCCAAAGAGATAAAAGATTAATTGTAATTAAATTTTATTTGAAATGACTGGAATATTAAACACATGAATGATCATTCTTCTTAATCACAAATGTCCATGAACAGCATACAAATTTAGTCATTAATATGCATTACAAATTATAACATGCTTAACTAATAAGCTTATGTAGTAAACTGCAGCAAACCCAGTAAACTTGTAGGAGGAAATATTATAAATATTGACTTGGTAAATAACCAAATAAATAATCAGAATGCAGAAAGCCGCAGTGTCTTATGGGATTAGTGAATGTGTGCGGTGTGTGTCTATACCTCAGTGACCTCCTCTGGCTCTGTGTGACCCTTGTATTTCTCATCTGGCTGTGGAACCACTTTTCCCAGTCCCTGCACAATCCAGCCTATCATTCCAGCCCTGATGAAAGAAGAGATACAGTAAAGTCCATCAGCTGCTCTGGGCATGAGTGAGAATGTGAATGCATGTAAATAAGCTGCTTTGCTATAAGTCAACTCTAGATGGCAGCAAGGGAATGTAAAAACAAACAGGTCTGCCCAGCGGGCGCCAGTGAAGCAGGAACCAATGCTAATAATAAAAAAAAAAGGTTCCATTTCAGTAGTGCTCTTGTAGATGAATATGTATGTATATATAGGCCCTATATATATAACATTGTATGTTCTAGGGAAGCCAGTCTGCATATTATAATGCTTATGTCTGTTCGGCATGAGGGTCTTTTGCCTTGAGCTGTTAATATGGAAATACAGCTCAGTGGAATAAAGTCTTTTGCGTGTGTAGCATGCAAAAACTCTCCATGCTGGTCTGCAACAAAGCTTTGGATGTTTGTGCATGACCTAATATAAGCTACTCACTGGTCCGATGTGTTACTGCGGTCCATGATACAGTGATGGAAAAATATGTGATACTTATCAAAACATTCATTTAACAGGCACACACACACAGATACAGATGTGAAATACACAAGTATTCTCACATAATGAAGATGCGGCAAACAACATAAGAATACAAAATAAAACTGAATCCATATGATTGAAACTATACCTGCTGCTCACTGCATTCTCCTCATGCTGTTCAATCCATGGTAAAAAAAAAACAAAAACAAAAAAAACATTGTTAAATTGCTTGAAATTAGTTCACAAATAATAAAAAAAAGGGTTCCATTAAAAAAATAAAAATTCAAAGTAGCAATTTGAAAAAAAAAAGGGTACATTCTTTTCTTGGCTTCAAAAACATACTGATTAAATCAAGAAATGAAAGAGAATTTCTCATCACAGCAACTTTAAAATTGTTTACAATACTTACAAACCTGTTTTTCTCTCTTTTTAAATGTTGTTTCAGGACACAATTACATTCTTTTCTTGGCTTCAAAAACATACTGATTAAATCAAGAAATGAAAGAGAATTTCTCATCACAGCAACTTTAAAATTGTTTACAAAACCTGTTTTTCTCTCTTTTTAAATGTTGTTTCAGGACACAACACACCAGATGTTAAACTAAACATCTGTCTTGAAACTTGCCACTTGTTAAACAAATTATTTTTGACACTTTGACTGTGTTCCCACTTGAGTTAAGTTCATTTATTTTCAGCCATGTCTAAAAATAGTATGCATTGCTTTATCTCAAAGTTATGATGTCTGAAGAAGGTGTCTCTTCATAATGACAAATGACTGCATTTGTGTCATGGTACACACCAAAACAAGTTCTATCCTCATTAAAGCAACAAAAACAGCAAAAAATGTAAGTCACAATAACTTGTAAAATATGTACTTTGCACACACTGGCGATCTAAAAAAATTGTAAGGACTAAAAAGTATTTTTGCCTTGCAAATATAATTGAGTAAGATTGCAAGTATTGTGTTTCAATAGTAATTAAATACAGCACATTATCTAAAAAAATTTGACTCAATTTAGGTAATGAAGTACAATTACCCAAGAAACATCTCCATTTGCCTGTTGGATACTGTCACCTTAACTGAGGTTGTTCATTCATTTTAAAACCATCATTGTTTTTGTGTCAACAAAAAACATAGCTCAGATTAATGTATAAAAACTAAGAAATAACAAAGTAACTATAGAAATAATTGTAAATAATAATGAAAGATTACAGTAAGAATGAAAGATGGTCAGACTACTTAATTTTGAATTAAACCGAAAAATTCATCTTTTTAATAAGTATTTCTTTATGCATTACAATCTCAAAAATTAGGCATTTTTTATTTTTGAATTTGCTTTAGCTCACAAAAATGATTATTTCGATTTTCAACTTTATTCTGTGAATGTACACGACAGGAGTCATGAAAATACCTTAACTTCACTGTTGGCCAGTTTAGAGGAGTTTACTGGCTGAGGGAGAGCACTGCTGAACCCATGAGAGAGCCAACTCAAAACCCTACTCTGAGAGCTGGAGTGAGACAGAGACAGAGACAGAGACAGAGAGAGACAGAGTGGGAGAGAGAGAGAGAGAGAGAGAGAGAGTAGGAGGGATAGAGAGAAAGGAGGGATAGAGAGCAGTAATTAGGTCTGGCAGGATTACAGCATCTAGAGACACTGATCGCACACACACACACACACACAAACACACACACACAAACACACAAACATAACATCACCTGTTTTCCTCTGAGACCTCCTCCGTTGGCTTGGAAGTTTCTGTAAAATAACATCATGAAAAATAAATGAACAGTACTCTCAGGTCTGTATTTTTTCTGTGATTCAGCGTTGGTCATTGATCAAAACTGCTGTCAAATTTGATAGAGTGCATAGTTACCTTGTTTTACTTCCTCTTTTTTCGTCACATCCTAAAGAACAGTACAGAGACAGTGAAGAGATGCTTAAACTGTGAAAGGTGACTCAATGGACATACATGAACACAAACTCACACTCACTGGTGCTGCAGTGGAAGCATTGGTCTGGTCCTCCTCTGCCAGCTTCCCAGGAGATGCTGGAGGCTGGGGAACAACCTTTATCACCCAGCTAAACATGCTGTCAAATACAGATCAACACAGCAGGTGTCAAAGTCAAATAAGGATGTTTAAGATATTGAAAAAGAACCGTCCAAAAAGCAGTGTTGGGGAGTACAAAAGCCTCAATATACATTTTCAAGTAGCATGAGAGTAGTTTTAACATAGAAGCCTGTTTCTGCCACTGAATAAAAAACAAAACAAGGTATGAATTTGTTGAATTTGAATTTGCGTACAGCACCTGTCTTAATTTGAAACCAATCTAACTGTTTCTCGCTCTTGGTCACAGGGGTTTTGCGCCAGTGGGATCATAGCTGTTTGTGTCGGCTTGAGTCACTGTTAATCACTGGTAAATGCATCTGACCCTAATCTCTCCTAGCTTGAACACCTGTGGAAACAGACCAGGCCAGCTTTACCTGTCTGCCCACACTGCTCCACTTTACACCTGAACAGAGAAAGATGGACGCATGGAGAGCACTTTGTTTTGCGGTGGTCTTACTGGTGGGCTCTGTTAACGCTCTATTCCAGGTCAGACACTGCGCTGTACAACATCAGACATGCGATCTGCTTTGAATGCATTCAAACCAAGACTATACACTCCCACAACCGCAGATTTTAAATCGTCATTCACTTAAAACTCCTCCAATCCTGTTTGGTCCAATGATCAGATTCTGTTTTAGCAGCAATCCATGTGCAGCACAGCCAATAGAAACACAACTTCACATAAACACCGAGCCAAACGAAGAAGAACAGTTGCATGATTATGAGTGAAATGCAGGATGCAGAAGAGGCTCGGAGCAGATGGTGAAAACACTGAGCCATGGAGGAGATGATTTGCTGCTAGTCAAACCAGCTGTCAGGAGGTTCATACGGGTTGACACGAGGAAATGAGCTGTGACCCACTTCAACTCAAGTATTCTTACAAGTTACATTTCTGGACATTTATGGCATGGAAATTCAGTTAAATATTCTGGTAAATATGATGATAATAATATCATATGTAAAATTTAAATATTAATATGTTGGTAAATATTATTATATTAAATATCATCATACAATTTATTTTATTTTATTTCCAATTAATAGAAAACGCTTTACAATAAAGGTTCCATTTTTTAACATTAGTTATTTGTTAATATGAACTAACAATTAAATACTTCTAAAAAATACTTCTAAAGCTTTTAATTAATGTAAATTTCAACATTTTCTAATATATTATTAAAACCAAAAGTTGTTATTTATGTGTCTGAACTAACATGAACTTACAATGAACTAACATTAACAAAGATTCATAAATATTGTAAAAAAATAAATAAAAAAAAGGTAAAAAAAAGAATACTGTATTGCTCATTGTTAGTTAACGTTAGTTGAGGCATTAACTAATGTTAACCAATGGGACATTATTGTAAAGCGTTACCAAAATAATTTGTCGTTCTTTACCTTAACTTTTTCAAAAACTGATCAGGTTGTTATGACCCACACAAATACACTAAAAAAGATTGGTGTAGAAATAATTTTCACTCATAAAGTGCTTGTAAATTTCACAATTAATTACAAAGAAACGGAAATTAACGCATTGAATTAAACATGAAATTTTCTTGTAAAACGTACTCCAATAATCTTTTATTTATAAATTAAAAAAAATATTTTTTTTACAGTGTAGAGAAAAATCAACCATAAAACAGTAAACAAAATCCCATACTAAAAAAAAACAAAAAAACACTCACAATGTGTGCCTATCAAATGGACATTACTATGAATATTTCAGAGTCTTGCTTGTTAAATGTTGGCAGACTCAGATTTTACCTGCAGTGTTCAGCAGAAGACGGTCATCCCAGAGAGAGGCTGAGGCTGAAGGACGGCCAGGTGGGAAGTGGAGGGATTATCCATGAGAAAGCACAGCTAACGGGATTAGGCTTTCTCTGGGACGGATGCAGAGGGAGGACCTGGACTTGGACTTTATTAGCTTCACACAATCCTTCTTGGAGCTCAGCCCGTATAGAACCACAGAGGGGTAACGTCCAGGACAGAGAAACCCCTCAAATAGTAGCCAGTGTAGTGCAAATATAAATTGTGCTTTATAGTTTGATGTGGGCAGGTTTGGTTGTCTCATTTAAGATTTACTTCAATGCATTATTATTGTTATTAACATTTTCAAACCTGCACAATGCGAGTAAATCACTTGCATATGCAACCACATTTCACATCAGGCAACTAAATATTGTTTGTCTTTAGCCATTGGCTAGTACATTGTTATATTTCACTTGCTAGTGATAGATTAGTAGTAGCAGAAGTCCTATTTCATATATTGTAAAACATATTTAATGACCAATCATGTCTAAAGTACCGTATTCTGTAAGTACTGATTTGAGTTTCTAATTATTAAAGTTATCATGCTTTCAAATTGTATCACATACGAATGTAACTTCTTAATCTATAATCTCTATAAGTATCTTCTTAAAATATAATATAAAAGGTATATAATATATAATAATATTTGTGGGTGTCAAAAGCCTGTCATATAAACTACAAAAAATAGTTAGATTTATTTGCCAGTGTGTGACTGTAGAGGGTTGATTTTCTATCAAATATAACTGGAGATTAGCTGTAAAACAGTCAACAATTTTAAAAAAAAAAATTGCATTTAATTGCAATTACCATTATTTTGGATTAAAGTAGTGTTAAAAAACTGAAACTGAAAGTGAAAAAAAAAGAAAAAAATTGGTGTAGGATTTACTGAGACAGTTCTCACTCAGATTGTAAGTCATTTCACAAATAATTAAAAAAAATATCAATAATGTACTTGAAAAAAATATTTTTACAGTGTTCCATTTTTTCATGAAGTACCATTTCATCCTGAGATACAGTGTTATATTCAATGTCACATTTGATTTCTAATGCATATATATATATATGTTACAGGCTTCAGATCATTTCACAGCTTCATTCTGTTATTGTAGTGTCATTGATATGCTATTATATATATTTTTTGTTAATATTTTGAATTAGATTTCATTTTTATATGGTTTTCATTTTAAATTTAGTTAAAAATTGAGTAATTTTGTTGCATGTTTTTGTCATTTTTTTTATTATTAGTTATTTGAGTACTTAAGCTTAAACTAAATCAAACTGAGAAATGTTGCTTTGGCAGCTAGCTGAAATATAATACGTTTACATTTTTCATTTCAGTTAATTTATTTTAAGTAATGTAGATGTTTTTCATTAGTTTAGTTAATTACAATAACCATGCCTGTACTTAATTTCTTCTTGCCTAAAGGACAACCTGTCTCATTTCACCCCTATGAGATTCATTTCATTGGTGCAGTTATGGTTTAATGTGCTTGAAATGTTAAAGCTGCAGGTGAGTTTGTGAGCATGATTCAGTGAGATATTATTGCTCCAGGAAGACATCCTAACAAACATACTAATATCCTAATTTATCAGGTCTTCGGGGGCCCCTCAAAACTTTAGAAACATGCTCTGATATTATGAACGATTCCAGTGTGTTTTCCGCTGCCCTTCAGGTGCGGTGACTGTCTCAGTCTGTTGCCATCACCTCCCAATTTGCCATCTGGCACATATTCATCAGTGAGATAAGATGCCGTCTCTCTGCTCATTTTTTACAAATTCTCAAAGCCTGAGATGAGTCACTTTCACCTCTGCTCACAACCCTCTCGAGTCTGCTTCATCCCTCCTTCCCATATGTCAGCCACCCTGCCACTTATTACAGCCGCCACATCACATCCCTGAGAGGAGGAAACTTCACACAACGTCTGGATACTGTGGAGCTGATTATCTGTCCATCATTTCAGACAACCAAAAACTAAACAAGAATTTTGGAAAATCGACTTTCATTAATGATTCACTGCAAAAGACAATATAGTTAAAGGAATAGTTCACCCCAAAATGAAAACATGCTGAACATTGGTTCCTCTGCAGTGAATGGGTGCCGTCAGAATGAGAGTCCAAACAGCTGATAAAAATATCACAATAATCTCCAAGTAATCCACATCACTCCAGTCCATCAGTCAATGTCTTTTAATTTTGTTTTTAATTTCTCTAAAACAGTTCCCATGAAGAAACAAACTCATCTACATCTTGGGTGGCCTGAGGGTGAGTAAATGTTTTTTTTTATTTTTTTTTAAGCAAATTTTCATTTTTGTGTGAACTATCCCTTGTAACAGACAGATGTGTAATCACCATCATTTATTTAAAGCATTTTATATTGCACATTTATATTTTGGTGTATTTAGTAACAGCATTTTGAGAAAACTACTTTTGTGTCCCATGGCAAACAAAATATTGTGATGTGACATGTAGCCAAGTATGGTGTCCCACACTTGGAATTTGTGCTCTGCATTTAACCCATGCAAGTGTACACACAGCAGTGAGCAGTGAACAAACACTCACTCACACACACACACACACACACACACACGCACACACACACACACACACACA